TAAAGAAAAGCGGATGGTGGAAAATCTGTACGATGCTGATTATCGAGGTGAAGCTGTTGTACTAATGGATACGTCCAAGAGTACCAGCTTTGAAAATAAAAGTATTAAAAACGGTCTCTTTTTGTTCGACAAAATTCGTAAACTTAATGTAGCTGGAATGAAAAACATTTTAGCAATCGGTAGGTCGCTTTATAAAGTGTTTTTTGATACAATTAGTCATGCAAATAATAGTTTATATAACGAGAAACTGAGCCAGATGGGAATTCGGGTTTTTATTCCGCGAAGCTTTATGGAGACGTATGGAGTGATACGTCAAATACCGGTAGACTTTTTAGAGGATGAATTAATGCTTAACATGCAGTCGGGGGTTGAAGTTAAGTCTGTGTCCAGGATCACTAGACGTGATCCTGTCAACAACGGCAATTTTGTACCTACAATGTCCATAAAAATTGGTTTCAAGGGGAATGTAATTCCTGAAGAGGTGAAGATCTTTTGTGTTAACTTCAAGGTGAATTTTTTTTTTCCGAGAGCGAAGCAATGCTTCAATTGTGGGCGACTCGGGCACACAAAACTTTCATGCAGGGCTAGTAATAGGTGCATCATATGTGGAAAAGAGGAGCGATGCGTTGGGAAATGCACAAGTAGCAATCCAAAGTGCATTTTGTGCGGTAGCGGCGAACATGTATCGGTGAATAGGTCGAAATGTCCCAGCTGGGAGAAAGAAAAGCAGGTAATCGAGATCATGACGGTAAAAAAAATGTCCAAGCGTGAGGCCTTCGACACTTATGGTGATGGAGGGAGAAGGAACAGTTTTTCTATGCTTGCAGATTATGACTCATCTTTTCCTTTGCTCAATAATGAGCAAGAAAATGTGCAAAATAATACAGTAATTGCTAACAAATTGCTCACAAAGAGGAAGTATTCTGCGATGGCTTGGAAAGGTGTGCATGCATCAAGGCAAGGCAGGGTACAGGAGAAGCAAGAAAGTGTGAACAAGGAAAGAGTAGCTAAGGATAGGATAGTGCCGGTGTACGAAAGTAAAAGATGGGAAAGAGTAGGTGAAATCGAAAGACTTTTAAGTCAATTAATTGAAAAGTTTAATATAAGTGAGGATGAACCATTAATTAAAGTTTTGAGTACAATGATGAAAACGAAGGTAGACGACAGGCTGTATGTAAATTCTTTTAATGATGACCGTCAAAATACTTCAACTTAATTGCCAAAGTTTAAATGCAAACCGTGATTATATTGATTTTTTTGTTAATCACAATAATATTGATGTAGTAGTACTTCAAGAAGTTTTTTCGCATGGAGATACAAAAGCGAGACACAAATTAATAAATTACAATTTAATTACTAAATATCGAGCGGATGGCTACGGAGGAGTTGCCATCGGTTGCAGGAAAAACATTAAGTTTAAAAAAGTGAGATATAACACTTGTCAAGATATCGTTGTAGTGAAAACGACTAATTTAAACCACAATCTTACTATTGCATCGGCCTATTTTCCACCGGGAGTAAACAGATATATTTTTGATTATGAGGTCAGTAGATTACTGACTTTTTTGGAAGGTACGGAGAATATTCTTTTTTTAGGCGATTTCAATGCTAAGTTGAGGGTGTGGGGGTGTAATAAAGACACCCCAAAAGGAAAAGTTTTGCAAAATATAACCAGCAAGAGTGGCTTAAAGTGTTTGAACGATGGTAGCCCAACTTTTTCGGTCAACAAATATGAGGGTGGAGGGCTTTCTGCTCTGGATCTTTCATTTACAAATTCCTTGCTGAGAATGTGTTGGAAATGTGATCAAGGTTATGTTGGTGGTAGCCATCATCGTCCGATTGTCATTGAACTAAGTGACTCGATGAATAAACCTTTCCCTTTCCTTCAAAAAAGGAAACTGGAGCTTGCACTATCCAAATGTAAATATGACGGTGGTTTAGATAATTTGCAGGATAAAATTCACACTGAAATTAGAAAGGCAACCATCGATTTAAACAAAGTAAAGGGCTCGCCGAAAATGTGGTGGGATGATGATTTAAGTAAGATGTACAGGCTACTGCTGGTGGCCAGGAAGAAAGCAAGAAGATCCAGTAGCATCAGCGACTTTGAGATACTCTGTAATGAAGAGGAAAAGTGGAGAAAAGCGGTTAAAACAGCTAAAAATAATAGCTACAAAAACAAAATTATAGAACTGAATTCGAGTCCAAACACCACGGAGGCTTGGAGGTTTGTAAATAGGGTTAAAGGCTGTCAAAAAGGGAACTCAAGTTGGTTGTGTGATAACAACGATAAATATCTTGCAATGTTGGGTGATCAAATTGACAAACAGAACAGTAACACTGTGCACAATTCATCGATGGTAGCGACAGTGGCCAGGGGAAACAGTTGTTGGAGTTCTCTGTTAGTGAACTAAACGATGTGTTGAATAGGAAGAAAAAATCAGCCGGAGGGGTAGATAGAATCACTTTCGAAATGTTAAATAGGCTACCTGATGATACAAAGAGGTTATTTGTTAAAGAACTTGAAAAGTGCTTTAATGATAATAATGTACCAGAAAAATGGAGAATAGTTAAAATTGTACCAATCCCGAAACCAAATAAGGATTTAAAGGACATAAAAAATTTTAGGCCAATTTCGCTGCTTTCGGTAATTGCAAAAAGCTTAAACATGATGTTGAAGGATAGAGTAATGGAATGGGCGGAAGGTAACAGAGTTTTTCCTGATGGGTGTTTTGCCTATCGTAAAGGGAAATCTGCGGCCATGTGTGTGAACGAATGTTTATTTTGGTCTAGTGAATTGAAGAAAGAGGGTAAGAAGGTGGTAATGTGTGTACTTGATATTGAAAACGCATACAATCAGGTCAATATAGGTTTACTTGGGGAGATCCTGGTTAATTCAGGATTGGATGCCAGCATTGGGAAGTGGATTGTGAACTTTTTCTCTCGTAGGACTTTAGTTTTGGGTAATAGCTCTATTCAAGTAGAAAACGGATTACCGCAAGGTAGCTGTCTGTCTCCGTTGTTGTTCAACTTATATACCGCCAGTTTGCATGATTTGAATGATGAAAGAACGATGATGTTTCAATTTGCGGACGACTTTGCATTCCTATGCAGCGGAAAAAATGAAAAAGAAGCTATTAAAGTGCTAGAATCGAAACTGGAGCTTTTTGTACTCAGCCTAAAAAGGCTTAACCTTGGAATTAATGTAGAGAAGACAAAGTTCTTACTTATGAACACAACCAGCAGGAAAAGCTTGGAGCTTAACCTGGACAACAAGAAAATTGAGCAAGTAAAGGAAATTAAATGGTTAGGCAGAGTAATGACTTCCAGTTCGACGGTAAATCCGCATATTACAAGAATAAAGAGGGTTGCAACAACAAGTAAAAATCTGATTAAGAAACTAACGACAATTAAAGGAGGCCTGGAACCTAAGATAGCTCTGAACTTTTATAGATCTTTCGTCCGTAGTAAAGTTGAGTATGCTAACACTACTTATGCAAATGCACCACTTGGTTTTAATAGCAAAATACAAACAATCGTCAGTGATACACTCAGAAGATGTTTAGGACTCCCTCCGAGCTCCCCTGTGCATGCTAGGTATGTGCTAGCGGGGGAACTTCCACCTTTGAAGAGAGCGGAGTGGCTCACTGCGAAGGAGTTAGGGAAGCAAATTATGGTAAATGGTTGTTTAAGGGCAAGGCTGTCTGAGGGTAACAATGGTAATTCCAGCTACAGTTTTGTTTACAACAAACACAAATCGATTTTTGATAGTATAAATTCAAGTACTGCCTTTTCTACACATGAAAATTTTGAGGTTGAGATGTCACC